TGTAACTTTGCCGGCTCCATCTATCTGTTGAAGTAATGGCTTGTTGGAATTTGGCAGCACAGGTCCCTGTTACGTAAATGTGCTATAATGGCTCTATTCAAATATGGCAGAACCATTACTGAGAGAGCGCTCACACAACATTTGGGAGTGAGCAATGACAGTGCTGGAGAACAGCGGGAAAGTTGGACGACATCACATAAATGGATTCAGAATTTTTATTACAATTGAATTACTATTTTTATGGATGACATGACTGATTGAATGTGAAAGGGGTCGCTCTTAGTGTCAAACCCAAAGATAAAGAATGGACCAACATGAGATGAATCCCCAATACAACTTTAAACTGGTCAATTTCTGAGCTCTCATTGGTTGTTTACGTTCAGGCCCGGTGGATTCTTGCAAATGCCATTAGGAGCACTAGCATGAGCCAGAGGAACCTGATTGTTTCACTGTCAGGATAAAGTGAAAGTTTCAAGTTTCAGAAAACTGGACAAAATATTATTTTTACAAAAAATTACCTGCTGCAGCTTTAAGGTTAATACCATGGTCTGGGTGAATATTTGATTCTGATTGGCTGCAGGGTGTCCATTAATTCTTGATATAGGACAGCTACTATGTAGTTGCAGTCACACTGTTTACAGCTCTAAATTAATGCGTTGAAATAAATGAAAACAAAATCTGAATCTCTTATTTACACTACTGAGCGTAGTGCTTTAGTGCGTCATCCTCTGAACACCACAGGATGGCAACTGTAACACACAAGCCCCTAACCTGCCCGTCTGAACTTAATGATACTTTAAATAAGCAATCATCCCATCCGCTATTCCATTCACTAGTTAGTTACACATGCACTTTAATAGTTTGTTTGTGAAAATCTTGATATTGATTTGGGGACAATGACATGGTTGGATAGCAAGCTAGTCTTGTTGTTAAACATACTGTCAAATTATAGTTACAGTTTGTCGACCATATACAGTGTTTTTGACTTTGAATCTTGCTAGCATAACGTTAGCTCTCTGGTTCGTAGTTGAGACAAAGTGCTCTACGAAGGGAAGGAACTAGAAATATCTCCCATTGCGTGAAAGCTCATGGAAAAGCTCATTTATGTACAAATAATTTCATCTACCATCTTATTCAAGTGCAGTGTTTATTTTGTCTTATCGATAGACTTGGACTTGACTTACACGCCTCGCAATAAAAATAAAAAAATCTATTCAATCAGGCCAACGCAGTGGAGAAGCAGTGGACTGTAAATGCTTCCTCTGTGTGTGTACGCGACTTGATGATCGCTGCAGCAGCAGGTAAGACAACACACATGCACTTAGCCCAGATAAAGTGCTCCAGCAGCTCTGTTTCCCTGCAGTGTCCCAATTTAAAGCACAGTGAACTTCTACTGATGTTCTCCGGCAAGAAATACAGAAAATAGTCCCTAACTACTACAGCTATGACACACTATTACCACAGTTAGGAACAACTTCAGTCTCACACAGCAGCAATTCAAAATTCCTTTGTGTCTTTTAGACAACTACAGTCTCACAACAAAAAGGACAAACGTGGTTACCGTAAAAGACTTGAGTACAGCATAACTCTTAGTCACAGCTTCTGATTACAATAATGAAAGTCCTGATAGGTTTTAGTAACTTCAATATTTGGTTGTGACTGATTTTCTGTTCAGTTAACTTTAGTGTCTTCACAGTCTTTCAGAGAGGACAAGGAGACCTACTTTACAGAGCAGTCACAAGACCCAGGACACACACACACACACACACACACACACACACACACACACACACACACACACACACACACACACACACACACACACACACACACACACACACACACCACACACACACACACACACACACACACACACACACACACACACACACACACACACACACACACACACACACACACACACACGAGACAGGGCAGACAAGAGGGAAGAGAATGAAGCTAGAAAGCAGCTGAAGTGTTTTATCCAGTCCATTTAATTAGCAATGGCTCTTTAGGGTTAATTAACAGTTTGACTCATTCATTAACAAATAGAGAACAGTTAATTAAATACCCATCAGCCTAAGTAGACGCAGCTTTGGCCTAATTCTGCATTCATACCATCAAACAATTATGGTTTTAGGCCACGACAAATTTTACAGTAGTACCCCTGCAGCTCCCTCTCTACATCTGTTTCTGACCTATTCTCTCAACAGGTTCACAAGATTTATGTTACATTGCTCATTAGTAATATAAATACAACTGTGTTACAACAGATCAGTTTAAGTTAGGGGAAGTTGTTGCAGTTAAGGTTACCTAGTTTAGTGAAAATTGGTTATATAGCAGCATAGCAACGTCCTGAGCAGAGACAGACCTGACACTGTGTTGCTATCGCAGCCTCTCTGTGGTTTGTTTACAAGCAGACCGGCGCTGTGTGCAGCTGAGCAGAACTGGAACTGCTGTTATTCTTATCTATAATCAGTAAATTAAGGATTTATTTGGACTAAACCAGAGTTGGTGATTGTTGGTAAGTGGAAAGACTAACAAAGACGGTTTTGGTGAGTTTTATTTTGTTTCTGTCCACTTTGAATGAAGTTATGATGTTATGATGATATGCCAGGTGAAATGACCACTTTTGTCTATGGAGTCCGGTGGCAAGTGATATTATGTTTGTTTCCTATTGTTTTGGTCTGAGATGCTCTTGTGCGACATCCAGCGGCAAGAGAATTTTGTATATATATATAATTTAAGTTTAAGGTCAAAATATCTTCACAAATATGTGCACAATTGATTTCTATGATGTCAGATACATTTTCTAACTACAGCTATGAAAAAGCCATGACACTAGCATGTTATTCTGTGGGTGTCTATGAGTGACAGCATTAGATGGGCTGAGGAATAAGCCAACAGAATGATAGTGTTGGCCTCCAGGGAGCCTCACATAAATAAATGACAAAAGTCCTTCATTCATTCTTCTTTTTTTTTTTAGTGCAGGCAAGTGATTTATTAGTTCACACTACAATCCTGCAATTAATCTCATTTATATATATAACATAACAAGGACAGTGCACATTATTCAACATCACTGTAAATGTGCAACTCTTAGCCAACGTTTGTTCCTTGTCTCAATGTTAAATTAGCATCATAATAACCAGGAACAGACAACCAGATAACATGTAAATCATAACACTAGGCGTTGGTATAGACACACATGGTATAGGGTCTCTTGAGTTGTTACTATAGCAACCAGAGCCAAGCTAAGCTGAGGCTTGTGGAGTTTTGCTTTGAGCCCCCATCAGGACTGGACTGGTCATGTTGACGGGTACCTCTAAAGTAAGTAGGTAGAATAATACCGTTTACTCTTTACTGAAGTGTCAGTAAGGGTTTTATTAAGCCTGCTAAATCAACCTTTATTGATAAGAAGGATAAGTCACACAACATGAACCCACCAACATTGTAGTCAACAACAGTCTCCTCAATATTTCCTAAATATCTTAAATGTGTGTGTGTGTGTGTGTGTGTGTGTGTGTGTGTGTGTGTGTGTGTGTGTGTGTGTGGGTGTGGGTGTGTGTGTCTCTTTATTTCCATGTGTGGTGGCTGCAGTTGTCTGATTTGCATCCCTCCACAGAAAAACAAAACATCTGTGTCATTGCATGAGAAGAAAACAGCGTAACTGCGGCAGGCAAATCAGCTGATCTCACAATGTGTGTGTGTGTGTGTGTGTGTGTGTGTGTTTGAGTGTGAGAGAGGATTCTCCCACACATACAAACCTCCACCCTAATGTTTATAACCCTTAGCAAGACAAAAACCACAAACTGGGTTGCAGGAAGGATAGTTATATTAGGAAAGCAAACTTGTGTGTGTGTGTGTGTGTGTGTGTGTGTGTGTGTGTGTGTAGGTGGGAGGAAGTTGGTTGATGCATTCAAAGTCCTGATAAGAAGATGGGAGGGAATGACACATGTGTGTCTGTTCCAACTACAACATCAAAATCATGTATCTGAATGCTTAGTAAGTAATCACTATCAGCATCCTCTTCCTCTGTGGTGTTAAACTCCCATAATGCAATGAGATGAGATCAGCTGATCATAATGCATCCTCATGATGAGAATCCACAGAGACACCAGCGTTTCCAACTAAGTCTCATCAGTGCATTCTGCTGTGTGTCAAACACCGATAACAGTCAGAGGTCAGTGCAGGGAAGGAGGTGTGTAAGCAGCTCCACATCGCCCTCTGTAGGACTGAAAACTTTGTCTCAAATCCCAGCCAGAATCTTCCAATAGGGTAGTGGAGAAACCGTTCTGTTAGATGTATTTAAAGATCAACTACTTTATATCTTGTCCTCAATAAATAATGCATTATACATAATGACAGTCCAACATTTTAAGCAGCTCTGAGCTCTGTCTGATGGGGGCTTGATAGCTTAAAGCAAGGTTTCATCTATATTGTAATGTCCAAATCTCACCAATAGAGGGCAATACAGATCAGATTACTTAAATTGACCTGATAAAAGTAAATCAATGTTCTGATGATTAAAGATAAAGGCTTGAAAATGAAGAGCATTTGAGGCATTATTTTTATTTGAGGTTGAGTTTCATGTTGTAGTATTTTCAAAACTCTTTGAAAAAAGTTCTTCCCTACTGAACTATCAAACATCACAGCTGGACTGGGTCCTGGCAGGCTTCCCTAACTACATAATGATAGAAATCCATCCAATCAGGCCAGTCTGTAGCATAAGAACTAGAATACCTCCACACTTTGAGTTAGAGCAGCAGTTTGTGTCACTTCTGACTACACTGGGTTTTAAAATGTATGTAGAAAACAGAATTCTGTGGCTGGACCTCTCTGGTTGTTACGCCCATTAACTTAACTACATTTATGTAAAATGCACCATGAAGAACATGTTAAGCCATTTGCACATTTACACCAGAGCAGAGAAAAAGGTGATCATTATTATTGCAAGCCAAGCCAGAAAAACGTTTCTTTATCAGGTTTGTCCTTCCTACCTTTCCCCGAGCTGAAGAAGCAGTCCATCTCCACACTGGAACGCGAGTGGGACACGCAGAGTGTGGAGCTGGGAACCAGTCCCTCCTGGGGTGGGCTGCGGTCGGTGGTTCGGACCAGACACCAACCGGGCCGCTCACTGGGCCGCTCCAACAGCTCCACCGTCTGACCTGGAGACAAGAGCAGACAGATGTTTTACAGTGTGCTAACTGAAGAAAGTATCATTTTCCCAGTTTTACGATATTTTTCAGGTAAAAATGTTGTGTATGTAAATGTGTATTACAGTTTCAAATTGCAATCTTTTTCTTGAAACTTTAAAACTACTACTAAACTGAATCTTAGCTGAGCAAGATCAAGTTTAACCCTTTATACCTAGGAGCCATAGATTTAACTACTAAACTCAGACTATAACAGAACAGAATGAACAGTGAACCAGCAGATCCCTCCAGACTACGATGTGTAAACAGTGCAGAGAGGTTCGTCTCACCGGTGCTGACAGACATCTCCGTGCTGCATCCTGCTGTGAAGTCCTGAAGGACGACTGTCAACTCACAACCACCAGAGAGCTGCAAACAGAGAGAGGAGACATTTGATAAAACCTTTCAGATCTTCAGACATCACCAGCGTAACAATGAAACAAAGTGCTTTATGACGACATACTGTTTGTGTGAGTGTGTGTGTCAAAAATACTTTGACCCTAAAAGAATCTTCTGCATGGTTGATGGTTTCTCTTGGAAGAGAATCTTAATCCATGAACGCTGAATATTTCCATACAGAATATGATTAAGTGCATAACTAAACTTGTTCTGTACTTGATGTTCATGTACCTGTAACTCCATGAGCGCATCAGGGTTACAGAGCCTAAAGGTGAACGTTCAGCTGAGTAAACCTTTTATATTTAAAAATGAGAAAGCCCAGCAGCCGCAGTTTGGTGTTTGCAGATATAAATTCTCTGCAGGCTGAAGGAACAGGATGAACCAGCAGCATGTGGGCATGTATTCCTGACTTCTCTTTAGTTTTAAAATAAACACTGAACCTAACGAACAGGGAAAGAGCTGAACTGAACATGAGTAAAAGCTGTGAGAGTGTGTACAAAATCAGCCGAGGGCAACAGACCAGTGTGTGTTTTTACACTCTCTGTTGCCACAAACATTTCCACGCAGTGCAAACTTGAACCATCTCTTGACCTGGAAATGAGTCCACTTTCATAGAAAGACAGCAGGAGGGTGGAAATGGATGCAAATTCAAGTGAAACGCATTTTCTTGAGGACTAAGCTTATCAGTGAGATCAGTATCCCGTCTATAAAGGCAAAGATTACATTATTCAGTATGATGTAATCAATATAAAGCTTGATCTAGTTCTGATACCCCAATGTGTTCTGTCAACACACACAATTTAAGCAACAGTTTGCAGGTGCACCATGCCATTAAAGCACCTTTAAAACACTTGGCTTCAAATCTTGAGTATTTCTCTATAACATGAAATATTTGTGAATAAAAAAGCAACAAGCAAAGTGAAAAACATCTTCAGCCATTACCTATTAGGGGTTTAATACTCAGAAACGGCTTTATAAGGGCTGTGTGGAAGTGCTTTGATCGACAGCAACCAGAAAACCCACCAACTGAATAATCAGATTTGGATTCAAATGTTTCTAAATCCTGTACAGACACATACACATATCACCTTCTCCAAATGAGCCTTCAAACCGGCGGAAATTCAAATATCTTGTGTGAAACAACAAAAAACCTGTTCATGTGGGAGACCATTACTCACAGGAAAAAGGTGAATAAGAGTAGACAGGAAAGGGGGGAGAGACCAATGACATGAGTCAAACCCATGGCCACTACAGTAAGGACTAAAGTGGTGTTAAGGCCAGATAGAGAAAAAGTTGTTCAGCTGTTAAACAGTCTCTGTGGTTGGCAAATGAAGGCAACATGGAAGTAACAAAAACTGCAACGGCCACTAGAGGCTGACTCCAGCAGTGAGTCAATCTCCATAAGCCCCCGTATTAAAATGCCCAACTTTACAGCAGAAATAACCATGTTTATAAACTGGTACAAAAAAACACTTTGTCTCTATAGCTTAATTCCCCGTTCATGACAACTGTATGGTGGGGTTAATTGTAATACAACTCACCCATTTAAATTATATTAAGGTTTTGAATGATAGGTGGGTGCTGTTACAGGTGGCTGGTTTCAGCAACTAGGCTTCATTAAGCTCCACCCACGTGCCACCTTATTGCTGACAGTCTACACTAAATACATAAACTGACTTTACAAATGAGCTCAGATGTGGGTGTGCTGCGATTTCAGAGAAATCATCTCAAGCAGCAGTTGTAAATATTATCAGAGTTAATGACTGACAGGAAGTGAGGAGGACATGTAATCCACAGTTCCACAGGAAGACAGTGCATGCTGTAGACTGAACTGCCATAATGGCTGAGTAAACCTGTTATATAAAGAGTATATTGACATTCTCTATCTCACACACACACACACACACACACACACACTTGTTAGTGATAAAGCTAACGTCATATTGCTGGGGTGTATTGACCTTTACTCCCACATATAAAGCACAAATAGAACAGATAATGTTGGTCATGGTATAAAGTCAGCTGATTGAAAAGAAAAGTTGCAGAGGAAATGCATAAAACCCAAAACAAACAGGCACAGTGATAAAGCATCCTGTACTGCTCTGACCTGGACTGCTGTGTACTGTAGAAACACTGTCAGCTGAGGACTGCATGGCTCTCACTGTGGAGTGCATTCTGACCTCTCGCTCGTCAGCAGGCAGCCGTCACACCGGCAACACAATTAAACTGAGCTGCTGTTTCGTCTGAATTTGTAGATTCAGGTGACTCAAGTCTGGGATCACATCAAGTCTTGCTAGTTTTTATAATATTACAGCAGTGAATCAACACTAAAAGCAGAAGATAAATCCATATGTAATGGCTCAAAAGTGGCTGTAAATGAAGCTATTTCCTGCTCCAACTTCCTTCTCTTCCTCTATCTGCCTTGTCTGCTCTACACTCATTGTCTTGGAAAATGTCAGGGAGTGTGTGCGCTAATGTGTCTTTGCCTGGCTAAAGATCTCCTAGCAACAAGGACCCCTGTTTCTATAAAGGTGCAGGTGAGTTTATACCTGACAGATGGCCACACACACACACACATATGGACAAACACATAGCATCAAAAGACCCTGCAGCCCCACGCAGGTGATTTCACTTATTCTGCCTGATTAGACCTCTGCTCAGGCTGAAGGCAGAGCTAGGATTTGGATTATGACATCACTAACCCCCCCCCATGTACTATTAGGAATTTGCTTCGCTCCACTAGGTTGCAGCTGCGAGCTAAAACCCAGCGCTCTCATTAATTTGAAAGGAGCCAGTCCACTGTGTTGGCCAATCAAATACATTCAGTATCCTACAGTTTACCTCAAAACAGAAAAGAGTTGCCAATGATTTGTAAAATCCTATCTGAGAATTACAAACCACTGTGCTTATGACATCTGCAACAACGCATTAATGTGTCGCCCCAACTGGACTTCCTGGATTGGATTTCATTTTCTCTCTGGTACCTTAACCAGCATGTTCCCAATGTAAGCCCTGTTTACACCTTCATTGGCCCCTATTATTGTTAAAGCTGGTGTAGGCAGATTGAAAAACTTCCAAAACGTCATGCCTCGTAGGGTTCGCTCCCCTCCAGAGCTTCGTGAACCCGGAGGCAGCTCTGGCGCCGTCTAACAGCGGGATGAGAGGATGGTCCAGACCTCCTTTTCCAATTGGACATGCTCAGATTTGTGTCAGCAAAAGCCACATGGCTAGTACACCACACACACACACCAATGACACTCCTTAAAAGGCATTCCTGACCGTCACCATGCTATGCCATGGCATTGTGTGGAGCTGGGACGAGTTCACACACATTTTGTACTAGGAGGTATTGGAAATTTATGACAAGTTGCAGAATTTTCTGAATCAGGCTCTTGCCTATTTCTGCCTTTATAGAACAGCCAAAAGGAACTTCCTTTCTGAAATGATCTTTGATTGGCCAAAGTCTCCCATCACAGAGCCAAGAGGAGGTGTCATTCCAACCACTTGAACTACAACATGCTGAAAGATTTGGGTTTTTTTCGCCCAATGACACCAAAAGAGTAAAAAATCTACCCGAGCTTAAATTACGCACACGCTGTCCACACCTGTATGTGCAGTCCGGAGCAGAGGTCTAATCAGGCAAAGCAAGTGGGTAGACTATAACTGTAAGAGCTAAACAACATCTGGAGCAAGGTTGCCCAGTGGTTGCAGATGTTGGAGCTCAGTGGGAAGCTAACAATGGCATGGTTCACTGTCCATCCATCATCTATAAAATGTAAAGGATTGCTAATCAGTGTCTATCAAACTAGCCATGATCCTAGTGAGCTCTCCAAACTGTCTGTATTTGCTGTGTGTTTCAAGATTAGGAAATGTGATTTAAACCACAAAGACACATGTGGTCCTTTGTTGATGTTAAACTCAATTCAATCAGCAAACTTGTTGGGTGTTTTTTAATGTTGTAAAAATATATATATAAAAAGGTTTTGATATCTATGGTCAACAGATAAAAATGAGCCATTTTATCATAAATTGACCTTTGTTACATTAGGTGTAGTAAACTGTGGGTGTAAAAAGAAGTCAGCTAGTTTGCTCAAACATTTTCATAACATCGAAAGTCATGAAAAAACAGGCAGAACCTACCAACAGCACCCACAGACACAATACTATTTTCAGTGCCACTTTAATCTGACAGTCTATTTTGTTTGTGTGTGTGTGTGTGTGTTTGAGGGCGTGTCTTGTGCTCTACTGCTATCTGTCATATGACCCATTTGTGTGTACCGAAAACACATACGCATGCTCGCACCAGCTTGTGATGATCATATGTTAGAGTAGGGGAAGACAGCCTCAAGCAGAACAAATATGCTTCACCTCCTTCAACAGCAGAACAAAATGAGCCTGTTGAGATCAGGAAACTTCATGTCATTCCCTGGATACCAACTTATCCAGTGAATGACATGGAAGATTTTCTTTTCTTGGGGGTGGATGAATCTGCTTGAATCTGTGTTCACAGCAGCCTTTACTTATCACTAGCTATATCAGTGAAACAAAGCTAATAAATACTGAGCTTCCTTCAAACGCACAAAAATATCCCAATGAGGGCTTTACAGAATTGAGTTTGACTGTTTATTTTAAGCTTTGTGAGTGAGGATAAACTGGCTTGTTGCAGAAACTAATTTTGTCTTTACTCAAATACTGTACTTAGGACCAGTGTGTGGTATCTAGTGGTGAAGTTTCAGATTGCAACCAACTGTACACCGTAAGAACAGTCTGTGAAGTGTGTAAGAGAAATTATGATGGCAGTGAAACTCGCGAAAAACTAAAAAGTTCCTATTTACAGCCAGCATTTGGTTTGCCGTTCTGGGCTACTGTAGAAACATGGTTGTAGATAACAGCTCATTCTACATTAACGCAAACACAACGATTCCTATATTCAGGTGATTATTCACGAATGAAAAAATACCTATAAATAT